ATTCTTTTTCTGCCCCCAAACAATGAAAACAAGAAAAATGTGTATGAAAACAGCTTTAGTACAGTACGTTTGTACTAAATTTAGACCAAATGTCATCGAATGTGACACATATCTGTGCGCTTAAAACATATTTCAGAAACGAGCACAAAGATATTACTTTAGTTTTTGTATCATGAACAAAATACCGAATAAAACGAAAGAAAATGGCAGGCAATCAAGATTTGCAAGAAGATTTTTCGCAAGATGTTGAAGACGAAGAAAACAGTAGCAACAATGAAAATGACGACAGAAACGAAAACAACGCAGCAGATCAGTGGGAAGCATCAAGTTCGCGAGGCAATGCAGCAGATCAGTCCGAAGCATCAAGTTCGCGAGGCAATGAAGCAGATCAGTCCGAAGCATCAACTTCACGAGGCAATGAAGCAGATCAGTGCGAAGCATCCACTTCACGAGGCAATGAAGCACATCAGTGCGAAGCATCCTCTTCGCGACACAATGAAGATAGGTTAGTTGGAATTTTCTTATTCATTTTATCTTTTTTCAACAGAGAGATAAGAAAAAAGAAGAAGTTCAATCTTAATATCATTAACTTACTTAACATTTTCATTTGTTCTTTTTAGATGGCACATTGCAGTGAATAATGGGCACCCAGCGATTCTTTTTAATGAGGTTGGTATCACCGTTCATTCGGAAGACGTTAAACCTGGTGATATCAGGCGTGAATTAGTGGAAAATGGATTTAGGGTAAATAAAACGAATTTTTGATTGATTTTTTCTATTCAATTCGATGAATGAATTTTTTCTAAATTATTTTTTCGCCCTAGGTTGAGAGTGTGTCAGTTTCGAACCACTCAAACGACAAATTATTCGGGCTGTTGAAGTTTGAAACTCCTTTCGAAGCAGAAAGATACTGTGAAACAAAGGGATTTATATTCAGGCGTAACTCTCCATCAGAATCGTCGGAGTCACCCGTATATCGGAATGACCCGACTCCTTCCCCTCCATCGGATTCATCTGGTCGAGACAGGTATAACAAAAGGAAAAAAACAAAAAAAAAATCGTTGTTAATTTCTTGTTTAGAGCAAAATACCTTAAACCAAGCAGATTTAAAGACTTTTGGATTCTCATTTTTTCGAAGCAAGCGTGGTGTTTGATTCTTCGTGGAAAATGTTTGATTATTTTTATTCAAATTTCTACACTTTTTAGCACTACATGAAATGTAGAGCTACTAATCTGCTTTTTTTGTCTAGATACTTTTTGAGTGTTGAAACAAATTATGGTGAATTTGAATTTTATGCTCATATTTTTTATTTAATTTAAAACAGTGGCAGTAACGACAAATAGGTGCATAATATCTTAAAGCGCCAATCAAATTTTTATTATCAAATGTTGTTTAAAAATTACATTAATTTTTCGTATAATATTTTCTGTGTCTTGAACAGAATTAAAGTGATTTTAGATTCAATGCTCATATTTTTTATTTAATAACCAAAGGCAGTATATTTCAAAAAAGAAATAAAACCAAGATCTTGTAATTCATTTTGCAAATAAATATATTACTTCAAAGTTACTTTGATGAAATACATTTCATGTAGTGCGCCAAAAAATAGTTTGTTGTGAAACAACAAAATAGATTAAGTAACTAAAAACTCAAGAATGCTCCGCTCTGCGGTCTTGTTTTTAATTTTTCTAAATTGATTCCTTATTTTGATTTATTTTCATTCATTTAGCGGCCATGCAGAAGATTGAATTTGGTTTTTTTTTCTTGCGCCGCTGGTAATCTGATCTCATAATCGTAGTGCTAAAATACAAACATTCATAATATATTTCAAACTCAATACGATTCGTGAATCAAACAAGACCAGAAGGAGTGAAAACAATTCATTTTTTATATTGAACAGTATTCATTTTAGTTTTTCAGTTGAAAGAACGTTTTATTTTATGAAATCAAAAATGATGACCGAAACAGAAACACGCGTCCAAAGATTATGTTAAAAAATATGTGGAATTCATTGGATTTTATTTATGCATTGTTTGTGAGCAAATGTTGCCTAACTTTTTGAAATTGCTATCAAATGGGTCTATCCTAACTTTCGAATGCGCCTAAGTCCTGTAAATTCTTGTATTGATAAGGAAATAAAATTATTTGTTGCATCAAAATAGGTGAATTCCCTTGTTTTTGTAAAAAAAATTTGCTTCAAATAAAAAGCGACAATAAATGAAAAAATGTTCTTTAATTCGCCAAAACCAATGTGTGAATTGCTTGTTTTTGTTTTCCAATCAGCCTAATCTAATGGGGGAGGGGGATTAAATTCAAGTAAATGGGTAAGATAGAAGAAAACATAAATGTTGTTGGGTGTGTATGTGTTGACAATGGTTAAAATGAAATTGAGTCCTGCAGTCTGTGGTACCGTCTAATGTTTGGTCTTTTTAGCTGCGATTGGTGCCTCCGATTGTGTTTCGGCGATACGTTTCAAAATGATTGTGGCAGTTCGCGGCTTGATATTACGCTGAGCTGTTGACCGAGTGGTGCGACCACTAACCACCGTTGCAATTTGTTCCAATGGATTCTTCAAATTGTTCGATTCCTCCAGACGGCGACGCAAATCAATCACCTGTGCATTTAGCTCATCTATCTGCATCGAACAGCTTCGAAGCTTCTGTGCCTGCCGATTTTGGATACCAATGACACTGTTCAACTGTTTGTGAAAAGAAAACAATGAAATGTTAGATCAGTGGTTGCTTTTGACAGTTGTGAAAAATGTTGTAAATTAAGTAGTAATTGCTTTTTGTCATAGCTTCAATCGAATGCAAAAATGCAATTCTAATTCTTCGTTAAATCCTTGACATTTCAATTGCAAATCGAATCGAGTCCATTTAGTAGATAGATTTAAAATTGTCCGAGTCAAAATACCTTTCGCATTGCTGTCTTGAATTTCCGTTCCATGCGAATATAGTTGCTTTGGTATGGATCAACTGGGCTTGCAGCGATCGGTTTTTGTGGCGATGATGATGCAGAACTTTGTTGCAATTGTGAGTAAAGTGCTGGCAATGACAAGCCCGATGCGTTCAACGATGTGTCTGTTGGTGTATCTGGTTAAATTAATAAGAGAAGGTAAAGTATGATTTTTTTTTCAGAGTTAAAGAAAATAAAGTGGTAAAATCTAGAAAAAGCAGCTAGAATTGTTTGTTTACATTGGAATTGAACGGTCGAACCGTTCAGCAATGATCGAGTTGGCAATTCGCAATAGGCCTTCTTGAGAGTCGGTGCCACCTTTTCTTCAAAATGTTCAATGGCCATTGATGAAATATCGCGCAGCTCTTGCAACACCTCATGTGTACGTAACGGTTTATCAACCAATATGAAACACTTATCCGAATTGCTTGATTTTGTGTATTTTGAATGCGCGATTGTGCACAGCACATGTAAAACCTCATCGATCACCTTGAATTACGAGCGAGAGTGCAAGAGAAGGAGAGAGAAAGAGAGAAAAAGAGAATAAAATCAAACATCGAACTGTCATGTGATGTACAAATCAAATATGCACACTCTTACCTTTCCTGGAATGAAGCAGCACAAGTTGACTTCTATATATTTTGTGTATGTCATTGATAACATGGAAATGCGTGTCTCGATGCATGTGAGCACGTCGGAGTGCTTGGCCAATGGATGGTTTCTATGTACAAATTGATTAGATGGATGAAAATCAACACCGATACGATGTGCATTAAACCAATCGGATTTGATGTAAATGTGACTCACCTGCGTTCTGATTCACGGCGTGGCAGCTGTGATTTGATCAGTTTCATCAGATGACCGTGGTGCTTGATCATCTTGTGGAAACCAACATTCAGCAAACCTTGGCATATCGTATTGAACTTTTGACAAACCTATGACATCGTTCCAAACGCAGAAAAAAAAACAACGAAATTTATATAAAACACCCAAACTAAGAAAGAACAAAAAAAACACATCGAAATCATTGCTAGGCTCTTGGCTATGAGTTTGATTCGTCCTTATTTTTTTTCTTCTTCTTCTCTTGCAATCAATCATATGTGTGGTTGGAATACAAAGACTTACGATACGTTGTTTAGCAATTTCGTCGTAGGATAACAACTCCAGCACTTGTTCTAGCATACAATCGGGTAAATCCAGTAGATTCATGGCGATAAATATTCGGTCAATACGTTTGTAACATGAAAATGAGCGATCAGCAACCAAAACTCGACTTTTTTTGGCCAAAGTTTTGCAGTTTTATCGTTTATACACAAATGAACGTGTGAGAAAACACCAATACAAGTCAAAAAGGAAAAACTGATTGTCTTTTGTTTTTATTGAGATTGACAGTTCAGTGTGAAAAAGTGCAGTCGCAGAAAAAATGAATAGAAGGGCGATTCGCAGCCAACTTAAGTGCGGTTTGGTGAATTCAAATTTTACGCAGCAGTTAATGCAGACACACACCAGCCACATCATGTGTACGGTTGAATGTTGATATTTCCAAATGGTTTAGAATCAACATAGAATTCATTTTTACTCGTCGATTCATCATTTTATTAGAAAAAAAAAAAAAAAAAAAATTGCGATGTGTCATTTGTCAACGACGTTCACTGAACAGAAAATTCTTTTCAACACGGGCTTATCAAATTGGAAGCAATAGAAAAATCTCCATATTCGAATTAGAATCGATGTGGTGAGAAAAAAAACAGACCCGAAGTCAAAATGGTAAGGAAAAAACCTACACCAATAACGAGCTGATGTGAATGACTGAAATTGAGAATGGGTTGAGCACCGTGATTCCAACTTTTCTCGGTATTACATAATCAAAATGTGCTCCGTTCCATTCGTTCCTTCCATCCGATCATTCGGAGTTGTCCTTTCGCGTGCATGCACACTGCCGAATGATTTTTTTCATCGATTTCACCCGCTTCTTACAATCCTTATTTCATTTTTTTTTGCTTTTGGTTCCCTTCTTCTTCCTATTAAACCATACACGAGCTCGTATATTATTGAATCTTTTAGCTCTATCATGTGCAATATATATTCTTGTTCGGTGTTTTTTTTATTCTCTTCTTTCTATTTATTTGTTTGCATTATTCATTCGATTCAGTTCGATGTTACGTATTAGTCTTGACATATATGCGCGCACGCTACACCGCACGATGCCACAGCACAAGAATTTTTTTTCAATTGCATATAAATTGAAAATGCTTTACATTGCGGCTCGGCAGCATTTCTCTCTCTCGCTCTCTCGCTCTCTCGCTCACTTTCATCACACGTATATTTTATCCATTGACGCTGATGGGTTTTCATATACACCGTTATAGATATACCAAAGGCTCTATAGAGATAATGCAGGCAACGGCAGCATGCATAAAACGGAGAGCAGCTCGCTTGCATGCTCGCTCGCAACGAACGAAGAAGCGCGCGCTCGGTCGGTTCTTGTGTCTGTGAATGTGTATTTCTGCACTTGCATATGCACAACTGCACACAATGCACACCGTATCCAACGTGATTTTTCAATCGACATTTTCTACTGCCGCTATTGAATTTCCAATACGAAAACAGCAATAATCTCAATAAAAAGCACATTTCGAGCTGGCGAATACAGAGAAAGAAGAACAACAATGAAAATGTTGTGCTGTTATGATAGTGGCATTTGATGTGATGCGAGGGAAAAAGTGTGGGAAAGTGAGAGAGAGAGAGAGAGCGAGAGCACGCAGCAGCATAAGAATGGAAGGAGAGCAGGATAAAGAAAGAACTAGAGCGCTGGTTGGAAACTGAACTGTGATATCAGTAGGTGAGGGAGTGAGAGCATGAGTATGAAAAGTGAAATAGCATGCAGGGCAGATGTAGTTCGGTTCGGCTAGCGAGCAAAGAACATAACATAGAAGAGACAAAATCGAGAAGAGAGCCTGCCTGACTGACTGACGTACTTTTTGGTGTGTGTATATTCTCGACTGTGCAACGATTGTGCCGAACGGAGAGCGTATGGCGCACACGTGAGCATGTGATGTTGAGAGCGAAGCGCTTATTTTGTTGAATGAACGAGAACGCGATACGATATATACCGACCGAAAAGTGTGTGGTTTTTTTTCTCGCTGCTTTTCTGTTTCGAATAACAAAAATACTATAGAGTGAGCGATATATTCCGATGTGAGAGCTGCTGAGGAGATCCGTGTGTATGCGGTGTGTATGTGCATGTATATGTATGTATGTTTGAATATGAAACGACGGCATGCGATGGGTACGTTTGTGATGGTATGCGTTTTGCTTGTTTCTCGTGTTCCGTTCGAATCTCTCTCGCACTGTGGCACACTCTAGCAGCTATAGCATACAGCCAGCCAACTGTGTGGATTCACACAGTAGAATAGCGAAACATTTGAGGAGATGGGCAAAAAAAAAGAAAAATCGAGGTGGCCTTTTGCCTAGAACTCACTTTGTACATAGTATAGACGAACAGTAACGATTTGATAGTTGAAGAGTACTTATCGACTAATTCGGAAAGTTTGACACCGTAGCCCTCTGTACCTTGTTCACAACGGTTTAGTTGTTTTGTAGTTGTAGTAGTTTGCTGTTTCGAATGAAACAAACAAAAATTTGGAAAAGAATTTAAAAAAAAAAATTGAAAACGCGGAAAATTATAAAAATCATCATACAGTGCCAGAGCGAGCGACAAATGTAATAAATGGTGTAAGAATCACAACAACACGCTTTGATTTCATCACACATTCGCCAACGAATTAATATCAAATTGATAGAGAGAGAGAAAAAAAGAGCGAAACAATAAAGACAAGAAACTTTAAAAAAGCACACAGTGAGTAACAATCGACTCGCAAACACACAATTCGGAACCGATTGCCTGATAACGGACAAACAGCCCGCGTTTTTGGATTCCGAACGTTCGGCGAGCGAGAGAAAGAGCGAGCAAGCAAGATTACCCAAAACAAAACACCGGCAACAACATTCGAGCGCGTGAACGACGAAGAAACACAATTGACATCAGTGACAGACAACATGTGCGATTTCATTTCGAAAACTGATAACGATCGGTGCGAAACATTGAATTAGTTAGACAGTCAATTGTTTGGTGAAATACCCCAATTACACTTTGATCAAAATCGTTTGAATTAGTTTGATTATTTTTTTTCTTCTAATTTTTCCCACATTTGTTTGCTTCATCATTCACATGTGACATTAAATACATAGAACACGGTCAACGGAACAGAAATCATATTAAACGAATGTGACAAAGAATCTTTCTGTGAAAGATAATCAATTGCACTCGATTTATCACTTGAATTTGCATTGAATTTCCGGTGTATATATATATATATATATGTGTGTGTGTGTGTTAAAAGCCGCATCCATAAAAAAAGTGAGACCCATTTAAACTGTACAATAAACGAAATATTTGGAATTGATTTTAATTGAGTATTGTGTGTTATTTTTTCTTAATAAAAAAGAAACAAACGTTGGTTTTTATTTAAAAAAAAGTTAATAAAAATTCATGACACCGAACAGAAGATTCCTCTGACTATTGAGGATTTTATTTGCAAGTGTTCGATAATCATTGTTTGTTTGTTTTTTCAATTGATATTACGGAGCTTGTCATCAATTGATTTAACTGGAAACTAAATAAAACTGCATCCAATTGTGAACTGATTTTCCACAATTTTCGCTAGTTGAAACAGAAATAGTAAACAAGAATTTAAATTAAGCGCAGTAATTTAAGTAATTTTCATAAGAAATTTTACCAAGTTCAAAAAGGATAATCAAATAGTCGATAACAACTCGTACGAATTCGCTTCGATATAATAACAATTTTCAGCTGAAGACATAAATAAGTAAAATAAACGAGAAACAGGTCCAGAACAAATTGTGATTTTTAAATTAAGAAATTTTTTATTGAAACAAAAGAAGAAGAAAAGAAAAATAGAAAGAACAAAAACAAAGAAAGCGATAGAAAAAAGGAAGCAGAACCATTTCGATATGGAGCATCAAGTTCAGCAGGAGTTGGCTTCTGGATCGCCCGAAGTACCAAATTATCCAGGGTATGTATGTTTACATTCGGTTTTGGTTAAACGATTAACACCATAAAAGTGTGTGCAGCAGCAACACCACCACCACCAGCAAGTACTGTACACCGACCAAGTGAATCAGAAAACTGTATGGCGAATGCAAGGAATTACCCCAATTATATTACATAATTGTGTGTTCTTCGTAAATTTTTATTATTACATGCTATGACATTGCGTTGCACATGTGTTATCTGTATTTGGTTCGCATCGACGACGGTGCATTTTGCGAGCGAGAGAGAAAGATAGAGAGAGAGAGAGAGAGAGAGAGAGAGAGAGAGAGAGAGAAGGATGAAACGAGCGGAAGGAATAGAGAGAGAGAGAGAGAGAGAGAGAGAGAGAGCGATAGATAAATAGAAAGGGGTATAGAGGGATTGAGATGGAATGGAAGAGAGTAAGTGGGATGTGCGATATGTGGATAGAAAGAATGAGAGAGAGAGAGAGAGAGAGAGAGAGAGAGAGAGAGAGAGAGAGAGTGACAGAGAGTTCACAAAACGAAATATTCCCTCCGTGTGTAATGAACGCAAAATAAAAACAAACCGCATCGACATCGTGCAAAGGCGACCAAAAACAAAACGGTCGCATGAGCATGTATTTGTGAGCCGGAAGGACTTGATGTCTTATGCCGTGTTGAGAACTACAGAGAATGGAAATAAAAACAACGCCGAGTGTTTTTAAGCGCAAGTAATGATTGCAAAGATTGATACACACACACAACATAAAAACCGATATTCCAATCAAGTTTTCAGGACGGTTTTATCCTTGTTGTTTGAGTCTTCCGCTCCGCATATAAATCGCATCGCACGTTGACATTTGATTTTCTCGATTTTCCTCGTTTTTTGTCTCTCCACGCTTTTTCGCTCTCTCTCTCTTTTCGCATACACCGGTTGGCGCTGTCCTTTATCGTTTCGCGTATCACTTGGATTGCGTTTGTGACTCTGTCGTTCTCAACAATGTGCTCTCTTTCTCGCTCACGCAGTCCGAATGGCTTTTTTTTGCCCGAAAACGATTTTCACTCTCTGGCCGATACACACATGCACACACACGCTCATGGCGCACATCATGCGAGCGTTGTAAAAATGAAAACACCGAGAAAAAAATTGAAGAGCGAACAGTTTCACATACTTGAAACGGGATACACGTGCACGTTGTGCAATAGCATTTTGCTCATCCACAAATGAAACGCCAGTCACTAAAATATTAAACGCTCGCGTTCGAGTTTTCTTCTTCTTCTTTTCTTTCCTTTTCTTTTCTCTATTCTTTTACCCCAAACCAATATATTGAGTTTAACGAGAATCTTATTGAGTATATTATGTTCGTCATGAATGGATATAGCTTGATATTTTTTGCGTGAAATTCGATCGCAACCGGGTGATTTTAAGTGGTTTTTAGTTGGAATCGTTCTGTTTTTTGTTTCGTTTGTTGGTTCAAAAGAAAATTGAAAATGTTTCAATTTGAGCGAACACACAAAGTAAAACCCAACTAAATTATAAAATTCCTCGTTTTCTCAATCGTCCAATTTTGTCATATTCATTTTTCCCCCATCTGTACTGTATTTTTTTCTCGCTCTTTCGTTCGTTGTTCGTTCGTTGTTCGTTCATTCCTTCGCGTTAAACTTTACAATTGTTTTATGATGTCTGTCGGTCTTTCGTCAGTTTATCACACACTAAGGTCGAGCCGCAGACAGTTGAAAATCGTCTTATCTACTAGTCGTGCATGATCTTCATTATATAAATGATATTAATATTATCTAAATGTCTCGGTTCATAAGCTGTCATTGTCGGTTACAATACGAACTGATTGTTGTATTTTTAAATGTTCTCCCATAAATTTCTTTCTGTTTGTTTATTTCATTTGTTTTCCTTCGTTTCGTCTTCAGCCCATTATATTATATGTTTTCTTCTTTTTTCCACTTTGCCTAGTATTCACAATGCTCGATTTGCCTCTCTCTCTCTCTCTCTCTCTCTCGCTCGCACGTTCTCTATGTTTTCTTGTATATATCATTGCCCCTGTCAACCGATGTACATGATTGTGTTCAGCATAGATATTACACACATTCTTACCGAGTATTCAAATGGCGATCATATTCTGGTTGTCGTTTTCTGTTTGCGGTTTCGTTTTGTTTCTCGTCGGTTTTTTTTTTTTTGCTTTTTTGCTCTGCTCTCTATTTTATCTCTGTGTCTGTGTTCACTCGAAAGAATGAGAGAAGAATCGAGCGGCAGAAAATCGCAACGAATGCTATTTTTTCGGTCAATGTGACGATGGTTACGGTGTAGCGAACGATAGCGCATGATGAAAATATTTGATTTGATGGTGAAATCCTTGTTTGCAACCATGTGGCCAACCGATCACAATCACTGTTGCTACTTTAAGATGAGTTTTCGGTTGTACACATACCAACCAAACAGACAAACACACCTATACACTTTACCGCTATCTATGCGCATCAATTCATTGACTCATCAGTAGCTCACTTGATACGCTACATTGCTATTTTAACCATCATGTCAAAAACAGTTTTTCAAATTGTTCCGAAATGCTTTGAATTCAAATAACTGTCGAGAGAGTCATGCATCCGATCGAGTTAAAATTATGTGCAATCAAATGCTACTGCGAGTGATGCACAAATCGACGACATCATCGCTCAACTATGTGCAAACTGAAGCCAATGAAACCAATTTGGATTTGGTTAAAATAACAAAACCACTCTCTGTCGCGCTCTTGCGTTTTTCTTTAGCCACATTCAATTCCGAGAACAACAACAACAAAAACGACAATGAAAATGTTCCTCTTCGAAAGCGAACAACACAGAATTATTGAAACACAAAAATGTTTACGTCGTTTTGTTTCATTTTCTCTTTTGTTCTCTTCCAATAAGATATGTTTTTTTTTTGTCATCGTCAATAAAATAATCAATTGGAATTATTTATCGGGTTTTTCGTATTTTGGAGAATTGTGATGGCTGTGGTATTGTTCGCGGATGATTGGTTAAAATTAAAATTAATACATTCACACTAATAGATTTTAATAACTAGAATTGAATGTAGCAGCGATTCATTCTCTGCGAATGTGCCGTGCCGAAGCGAGCGCCGTTTTTATTTGTTGAATGGCTGCTACCGCTGTCGCCGCCGTCGCCTGCCAAACAGAGATGCTCATCTCTCTCTCTTTCTCTCTCTCTCTCTCTCTCGCTCGAAGAATTCATCCGTTCATTTGTCAGTTCTGTTTTCATTTAATTGATTCATATTATTTTAGTTTTTGACATGTAGTTTCTCCATATAAATCGGGTGGTGTGGCACACATGTGTGTGCGAGCAAGCGAGAAACCAGCTTCTGAGCACGTCGCAAGTACCAGCACATTGTGCCTGTGCAATCGTCTTTTCAATTTCATCTCTGATGCACATTTCACTCAATACTGATTAATTTCATTTTATTTGAAATATGACTTGAAAACTTTAATTCCAATCATACATACACTTGACTTCAATCATTCTGTACGCGCGCGCTTCACATGTTTTTAATTCGTATGGTAAATAATAGAAGTACACACACAGTACATGATTTTATCTGTATCGATGCGTTTTTCACTTTACCTCCTCTCTCTTTCTCTCTCTCTCTCTCTCTCTATCTAGCGCTCTCTGTCTCTCACACTCATCGCCATTGATTATAATTCATTCTGCATTTTCAATAACAATTAGTAATGTTGTTGCTGTTTTTTTTTCTGTTCTTGCTCTCGGTTTGTCTATACGTTGTTGTTGTTGTTATTATTTGTGTATTTATCAGCGATAAATACAGGCAAACACTCCCTTTCTCTCTGCCGATTGGCTAAATGGCGACGGAACATCAATTGGACTATGTCCCATATTCTTTTGTTTTGAAATTGTTCTTTTGCGTGAATGAAATTACATAATTCGTTTCAAATTTAGTTTTTCTGTTAGAATCGTTTTACATTACATCTAATCGCGCCTTGTGTCCGGCTGATAAGCCATGTTCTGCTTGTAAATTTTTCTCCTGTGATCTCTCACCAATCAATGCATGTGTACACACACAATTTCATTTGAAAACTATATTACCGATAAGTCCGCAGATCTCGAAATATTGTAAATAAAATCACACACGGGAAGAAGGCAAATAACTAAACTCAACAGCAGTTTATTTGAATGACGCAATTGATTCGTTACACATTACTTTCGACGTCACTTTCAATGCGTCCACTTGATTTTTTAGCTATCGCAAATTGCTTAATACGCTTCTTATTCCGTTGTATTTAGCTGTTTTACTCGATTCAAATCTGTACCAATGTTTCGATGCATTATTCCCTTTATGCGAGTTTGTTTTTCTCACACCTTTTGTTCACGAAATCGTGCTCGGCTACGGTCAATCGTTGATTGTGAACACTGAGTGTGAGAAAGAGAGAGAGAGAGAGAGAGAGAGAGAGAGAGAGAGAGAGAGAAACGAACACAAGAGTAATGCTTTGGATGCATTACATGACAATGCGACGACAAATGAAAGAAATTCGATTCAATTCGAACATTTTCAATGGAACTGTTGCATTTGTCTCATATTCACATTCATTTTTTATCCGACGAGAGTAAAAAATTGACTCAATTTAATGCAAATGGAATGCCAGTGGAGAAGAAATGTGTATATTTATATCATTTGACACAGAGAAAAAAAGCCATTTCGTTAACACGGCGTGGTGTGAAATGTACCGAAAAAGACAGAAAAATACCTGTCATTTCCTATCGTCACCACCACCGCCGCCATACCACCAATGTTGCCGTACAAACGACCGATTTTAAACACTTCTTGCGCTGAATGAATGAGATGTTAATAATTTAAAGCAAAATACTGTACAAAACAGCAGCAAACGAAGAAAAATGGTAATCGTTGTAATTATTGTTATTGAATTTTCAATTCATTCTCCCTTTTTTTGCATCACACTTACTCGCCTCTCGAAATGTGCGGTGATGTATGTCT